TGTTGGCGAGCCTGCTCCTGCAGCATCACCATCAGAGCACCTAAGTCAGGTGCTGCAGATGCAGGAGCTACTGACGGGCCTGCAGCCGGTGACTAGCCCTCCGACGTCTTCAGCGTTGCACCACCAAATCTTCTTTGATCCGTCTCCTGCTGGCGTTGACTTCGGGTACGGACACCCTCCGTTTCCTCCTTAGGTAAAATCGGCATGATTTGATCCACTTCTGACACCAATTGTTACGAGCTTAGGGTTCGTGACAATAAAAACTGCCGATTGAATTACCAAAATTAACACTTTAATTCACTTTACACTAATTAAAACTTAAAAGACACTAATAATTAATCACACTGATTCACTTTATTTCGCTCCGAAGCTTCACTTGTCTCGCCAAATTCAATACTGCCCCGATCGCGTATTGCAGAATAATAATACACCTTTTTCACCGAAACATCCAGAATATTCAAGTAAATACGCGCGCCGCCCGACCAGGCCCCGAAAGTTCGAGTGTGAGGCTTCTAGAAAGCTTAGTTCTTCAATTCGATACTAGATGGCGCTGTTGGTTAAAAGATTAGTTATGTCATTTTCTGGAAAGCTCTTCTCACTCTGTTACCCGACACTAGATGGCGCTAGTGCCAGACGTCAACTTAGGCGCGCAACAGTATATATAACACCATAATCCTAATATAAGTGTTGCATAGATGGATACTAAATGACCAACAAAAGGTTTCATATCATTCTTTAAGTTGCCAAAGGATTTTAGAAGGAAGCTATGAAAGTTCAATTTATTTCTTTTTTTTTTTTTTTTTGTTAAATAGGTACTTAAAGCAAAAAAGAAATAAATAATAAATTGATCTACGGAAGGAATATCTAAGTACTTTATTACAAAAATTTGTTAATATTTAGTTCACTATCCAAGTATCTACTAACATACCGATACTTGTCTTTGTAATTAAAATATTTTAAGTTATAATAACATAAAATACTGAAATTAAAACCTTGTATACTGACAAGATTTTTAACTAAGTAGAATAGATCATATTTTTGTTAAAAATGGAATTTCAGGTTTATTTGTTCTTTACACTGTCTACCTATTTCTTCCGAACCAAGCATCGCGATTCCCGACGAATGACCTTGTAATTTACATCCGTTAGGCATTGCATAACTCACATAGGGGCAAAAATATGGTCTGGATTTACTTTTATTGACATCCCTTAGTAACCAAGGAAAGTTCGCCGTGACTGAGGAAGGGGAAAAGATGCAGAGTAAGATGGTCACTAGCGAGCAGCGATAAAGTTTTATTTAGCTTGCGTGCGCGATTTATCCAATTAATAATAATTATGTAGGCAATTAACAGTCGGTAAGAAGTCAACATCAAAAAAGTGTAACTTCTGTACGTAGTACTATTATTTATTCTGTGCTACAGTAGGATATCCTTGAAAAATAAATAAATAAAAGCCCGCAAAAGCACTTGCTCCCTATTGGTGATGTTGTTCATAGGCGGCGGTAGTCACCATAAGATGAGCCGCATGCTCGCTTGCTCTAACTTATATAAAAGAATCAAGTTCCTGTTCTAGTTTCTGGATGTTAACGCTGCTAGTCTATGCGACTCTTACAGCTTTATCTAACTCAGGGAACTCAGCTAATTAAAAAGAGAAAGGCAATGACGTGAGGATGATGATGAATGGTTTATGATTTGGTATTGTTACCAATCATCATGTCGCCTTTTTAGGCGTAGCGTATTTGAACTATATAACCGCTGTCCGAGGGGGAAGTGCGGACCCAGTTCTCTTACTGCTCAGCTCGTGTTGGTCGATGACAAGTTCCTGTATTTATTACAAAGCAACATCATAGCGCATCGGAGCAGTAAGCTTTTTTTAAGAACATTACTTACACATTAGTATTTAGCTGAAATACCTCTAAAAACCGATGTGAACGGAAAAAAGTGTAGAGCGGCCCCCATCAGATGGAGTTTCGGCTATTGTATTTAAATGCCTAGAAACCTTACTAAACCCATTACAAAGTTGTAAGATATAAGTTATTAGTTATGGTGCGCTATAAATTGGCATAATTAGAGGAAATATGTACAAGTACTTACGATCTAACGACATGGTAAAGCATTTTCTGCATGTCGATACTTCTATCCGTGGCGCAGGACTGTCTTTTGTGGCATTACTTGAAGAACGCCCATCTAATGGAAGGTCTTAACAAGTACATTTTGAAATTATCTATATACTTTAGTAAGTATATGGATGTCCACCGTTTTTTTATAACTTTAATTTTAATAATACGGCTAAAACACATATTAGTTGCGAAATAATGCCATACATTGAGCTTTGGGGGTTATTTGCATGCCATTAAGACATGAATGCAGATTTCTAAAATGTTTGTCTGTCTTTGGAATGTGAAAACCGATTACAATGAAACTAAATAAAGGGACAGAGAGAAATTCCAAAAACCTAGATCAAAGACTTTATATAATCCGAAAAGTTTGATATTTTTCCAAAAAAAAGCAATAATTGATATAAGAAATAGCTTTTGATTATCTTTAATTTAACAAAAAAGCAATCGACACTTTGTGTCCTTTTAAATTAGGTTCACTAGTTTTAAATAAAAAATAACGTCTGTCACTTTAAACAAAACATAAAATGGGTCCGAAAATATTCCTTTCCTTCTTTAGTGGCTCCTCGTTTATTCATTACTTCTTACGGCGCTATCACAATAAATTAAAAAGTTCTGCTAACTCCAGGGGTTGTTAAGAATATACAATTTCTCTAAAAAGTTTGCCAAGGCTACTTTTTAAATGCCTTTTAAGTTTTTCATTACTTGTTTAGCTTTTTATATTAATATTCATAATGACATTTAAATAGTGTATTAACCTTAAGTGATAAGGACAATTGTATATCGCCTAAGGTTACTTTTAACTTTTAGGTCGACTAAGGCATAGGATAAATAATAAAACAGTCGTATTTGTGTGTATCGCAGCTGTATTAATATGTATTCCTACATGTCATAAAGAGATTCCTTGGTGTTCCGCTGTGGTGTGAAGCCGTATTTGCGGATACTACTTCTAGGTTGGATGTGCCATCTTATCCGCCTAAAATCATTTTTTCCTGGATTTTCCTCATAACTGATAAAAATCCTATTGGTCTATATATGCTTTAGGGCGCGTATAGCTGTCCTTGGCTGGTTTATGCTACTACCCACTGCCTCCTTCCAGATGGTGGGAAGGTGTCGCAGCTGTAGGCATTGGTTTATTATGCTCAAGTAAATCTCTGGGGTATGAAAATAGCTAGATAATAGGCAGATGTCGGTCATATAACCATCTCCATGCGTAGCCTTTTTAAGGTTATAACTGTTGGTTGCGTTAGCTCTGAAAGTGTAAATATCAAGTCACAAGGGTTATCTTTTGTCCCTGCATTTACTTTTTCGGCTTGCTCCCTAATATGTGATGTTCTGCATTTTCAGTATAAATTGTGTTCTCCGAGTAAAAGGTCTTAGCCAGTATCCTTGCTGATTCGATGTTATTCAACTGTTTTCCGTCTTTAATGAAAGGCAGATCTTCATGCATGCATTGGTGTTTATCCAATAACCTGATATATCCAAATTCAATACCCTTCCCTGTTCTGTCTACCACAAAACTCTTTTCATGCTTTTAACTGAGCTTTTTTTTTTGCTTTATTTTCATTCCATCATGGCAATGTTAATTTATTTTCATATTTCCTTATAATAGTTGTGACTTCTCACTCTTCTTTAATAGTCTTTATATATATATATATATATATATATATATATATATATATATATATATATATATTATATAACTAGTTTCCCAAATGTTTCTAAGTTTTAATATTTTTAATTTCACAAAAATTGATATTTCATCCGAAAAAATAGTCTCAATTTTGCTTTTTTCTTTTTATTGAAATACCAAATCATTTCTTTAGTTTTATTTGAAATATAATTGTGTTTGGACCCTTACTTGTCATGCTATCATCTACTTTCTCGTCTTCCACCTGTTTCAACAAATTTTTAGAGTACGTTGTAATGTACACGTAGCTCCTATAAAAATGTTCCTCTCATTGTGTCGAAAGTTGGTCTATATGCCTCATTTAGTATATAGAGGTCAAGCTAATCCAGGGTACCCAAAAGCGCATCTTCTCTCACGCTTCCACACTAAGCAACCAAAGCATTTGCTTCCCCTCCTATAAATATTTAGGTTTTTTTCATTTGCGCAACTATAATTATTAATCGAGCTAGGCACGGTTCAATGGGTGAGTTTGGTTCCAAATACAATGAGATTACTCCTAACTTCCAGATGCCCATTCTTATTTTAACCACTGCAATGTTGTTGATGGTAAGAGATGGAAATTGAGTGATATCGATATTACCATCAAAGACAGCAATTGCCGCCTTCACTAATATAATAGTACCTTCCCTTCTTTTAGAACACTAAAACACACGAACTCCCCGGTAGCATTTTATGCATCTTATTCTCTCATCGTATTGTTCTTATACCAGGGCAAATGTAATTCCAATCTTGCATGCTTTGAGCATTAATTTGGTCGTTGCCAGTTCCTTTCTCTGGTTAAATTTTGCCCCTGGGATGGATATAAGTTCTCTATTTTGTCTACCTGAGTGTTTTCTGCTGTTTCTAATCTATACTTTAGCCATATGGACAATCACTGCATTTGAGCTTTATAATTTTGCGATTTTGCGAGCCTTTCATGTGTAGAGCTCCACAATAAGAATATTTGTCGTCTGTGTCTTTGCAATGTCTTTTGCCATGCTCATATGCAAGACTCCTGGTACCTCAACTGACACTAGTGGTGAGTGGTCAGCCACCACTACTCGCTGCAAGTCCACATGTATACCACCAATCTCTATTTTTCGTTTCTAAACTGGTGGAGAGACTTAATCGGAATCGTACTAGAAGCCTCATCTTTTCGCTTTTCAAAGATTCCAGCTAGTTTTTGTTCTGATTCTCAATTGCAGCGATTATATCTTTATTGGTATTGATCTACAGTATGTTCCTCAATAAGTGTGAAGTTGTTAAGTGCATTTTTGTCAATCAAGAGCCCCGTATTACTGGCATTCAGTCGGTCAGCTACCTTAACCATTTTCTCTCTGGTATCACAATCGATGATCACCTTCTGGTTTCGAGACTTCCTCATTTTTTCTCCCCTTAACCCGATTACATTTGCATCCAGCGCCACCCTTATCATTTTAGTACTTCACCACTGGTGTATTATACATTACCTGATGTTACTATGATGGAGTGCATTTGTAGAGATACAGTGTTAAGTGCTGCAGTGTTCGTACAGAAAGGTTACGATGGCTATTCAAGTACAGAACCAGAATATGAAACCTATCCAACTACAGATACGTGGAAGAGGTTTTTTCGCTAACAGGCTGGAATAATGCGGCATACGGTATTAACATCAATGGCGAGGAAATTACTCACCTTCGATTTGTCAACGATATAGTTACTTACTTACTTATCTTCACGCACAATCCCTAACGGGGTAGCCAGAGAGAACAGATCGCCAAGTGTCACGATCTTGACATACCTCTTTCGCTTCTTTCAGGTTCATTAACTTCTTCATACATTCACGTCTAGGTATCCGAGTATTCTTGACCCTCCCCTCTTCGAGCAATTTGCTCACATGGTCTTCGAAAGTTAGTCTCGGTCTACCTCGACACCTTTTAATGTTTACTTTCGCTCTATATATTTTCTTCACCATTCGGTCTTCACTCATTCGTTCAACGTGCCCAAACCATTGGAGTACGCCCCTATCAATTTTTGCGATAAGGTCATCTTTCAATCCTGCCATATTGCGAATCTCTTCGTTTCGCTTTCGGTCGGCTAAGGTAACGCCACACATTTTACGAAGAGATCGCATCTCCACTGCATTCAACTTGCTTTTATGCTTCTTCTGGCATACCCAGGTTTCGCTGCCATATAACAAAGTCGGTACCAACACTGCATTATGTATTGCAAGGCGTGCACTCTTCACCACGCTTTGCCTTTTTACTAATGCATTCAGGGCACCATTGACTTTGTTTCCGGCAGCGACACGCCTATCCACATCTAAATCACATCTTCCATCCCGGCTGAAAGCACTCCCCAAGTATACAATTTCATTTACCTGTTCTAGACATTCCTGATTTACCCATATTTCACATTTCGTTCTCTCTTCGTCCTTTTCAAATACCAGAACCTTAGTTTTATTAGCATTCAAACGGAGACCTTTAATTTCACATTCCTCTTTCATACACGTGACTAATGCCTGCAGTGCTTATTGCACCATCAGCATACAGCAGACAATTAACTTTTATGTCACCCAATTTCACACCCAAACAGCTATTTTTCAGCTTCTGTAAACAGCTGTCGAGATACAGTATGAACAGCCAGGAAGACATGACACAACCCTGTTTTACGCCCGCTTGGACGCTAAACATGGGTGACAGGTCATGCCCTACCCGCACACAGGCTTTACAGTCATAGTTAAGTGACTGCACAGCCCTTAACAATAATATAGTACTTATGGCAAAATTGCTTGAGGACATAAGCATTATGCTTACCGACCTAAATAGTTTGTATCAACCAGTAGACATTAACCCTTGAATCTAAATATAATTCCCATGCAGTCGCATGCGCCTCTCAAATCCCGAGCGGACGCATGTGACTGCACCAACACACAGCACTTAAAACCATTAAAACTTATATTTAGAGACTACTTTTCTATAGAGAAGTTTGGCATTATAAAACCTATAAATTTTCTATCCTGTGGTCTAAACAAAAATCTGGTTTAACTTCATTAAAAAAGATTTTATTATATTTTGATAACAAAAAATATACAAAGCGGATGTCGGCAGCGTGAAAGTCACAATCATTTCTATATATTACTCGAAATTATTTACGTAAACAGATAAATTATATTCACACAAAAACTTTTATATCAATTTTATAACAAAACTAAAATATTAATAAAACACTAGAAAAATCCAAAAATCTACACAACAACATCCAATTGAAAATGGCGTACGTAATGAACGGTGTACTAAATGTTTTTATGCCACTAGAAGATAGAAAATTTCATATTGATTTTATAATGCCAAACTTCTTCATAAAAAGTAGTTTCTAAACCTACGTATTTATGGATTAAAGTACTGAGGGTCGGTGCGGTCAAATTTGACCTCTTGAATTTTGACGGAATATCGAATCGGTCAAATTTGGACGCTTGGCGTTTGAGAGGTCTAGTTTAAAATTTAATATAATGTTCTGTTTTAAGCATGATTCATAATTAAGAACAAAGATACGTATTTTATAAATTAAACCCTACCCGTACTGTCAGGAGTGATATTTTTAATTTAACGGTAATTTGTAATATAACGGTTCTCATATTTTATTATTCGTTAACAAAATCTATAAAAAGAACGAATGTTCTGTTGTTAAAGATAAATTAATGTAGTTCTTATTAATATTTTTACATTTTAAATCGATTATAAAATTTACTATTAGATTCCTAACATGTAAAGATTTAAGGTCATCTTATATGTGTTTTAGCACGAATGGATTAGCCACCAAATAATATAAGTGCAAAATAGCAGTATTTTATTTTGCATGGTGAATATAGTTATCGAGAAACACTTTTCAAGTGTTTACGGGGCATTAGGTACGAGGCATTCCATCTCAATCATCAGGAGATGAAAACGCATCTGCATTTTCAACCTAAAGTGAAAATAGTTGTAGATATCCATAGGTAGGAGCATCCACTTACCATCATGTGGACTGTGTACTTTTTTTACTTTTATAAATATATAAACAAGTTTACAGGAACACATTTTGCAGGGCCTTTGTAGCTTCAGTACTGCATATGAGCAGTGTAACTTTCGATAGAAAACCCAGCGTCGACACCGAATGCATTGCTGCCTCTACGCTCGGTTTACTTACAACTGCATAGTACTGCAATGCTGGACATACTGCACCTAGTCACCAGGTATTTTACAGTCTTTTAACTTGATCCGTCTATTTATCATGCGCGCAGTTTCGACATTCATCATGAAATCACGCGGGGTACATCGCCGGCTCAAGCGTGTGGGCTGATCATCGGCAAGTGTTTTTCAGACGAAATTGGTTACATTTTCACAAATTTGATTTTTACTAGAATTATATTCTGTGCCACAATAACATTTTATTTGAAATGGGTGTCATGTCATACTAATAATGACAGATAAAAGTGACATTTACAATGGTACCTTTATAAAAAGTAAACTTAAATGTTCGCCGCGTTGCCCTAATATTGTTATTAATTTCTCAGATATGCAGGCTTCCTCACGATGTTTTCCTTATCCGCGAGTTTTATGTGCACTTAAAATTGACATTTATAATGTCATTGGTGCCGTTGGGTTCAAAACCAGGTTGCTCGCGTGCTGTGAAATTTACAACAAATGTTTAGCCGCTGAGTTACCATACCTATCCTCTTATTGCAACGCTGGTGCCTATATTAAAAATGCAGATAAAAATTCCTTGACAAATTGACACACGGGCTTGTCGCAAATTGGCTCCATTAAGTAATCTTACGGAACTTCATATTCCTATTAAAACTGCCAAATAGAACTGTGACTAGACAAGATTTATGACATTTAATTTCGCTCCGCTGTAACTTGTCACGCAAACTGTTATAATAGTCTAAACTATTTAGAAATCCCTTTTTAATATAAGATAATGTGACGCAATGTTCTGAAATCAGTACTTCTGACACCCTACTTCATGAGACTGACAGGAGGTGTAATGGGCCACACGAGTGACAGGAGCAAAGTCTAAGACAATCCGCTAACGGCAAACCGCCTGCCAAGGGTGGCAACTATGGCAAATATTAAGCTCTTCTCTAAAGAAATCCCAGGGGAGGCTTGTGTTTATATGAAGTACTCGTATGAAGGCTTGTGGGCTATACGGGGAGGCCTATGTCAACATTTGATTTAAAGACTGTAACTGGTGAAATGTTTTAAATTATGAGATATCCGTAATACCCATAATTTTTTGATCTAACACTAGGATAAGTTGTAATACAATTAAAAAGTATGAAATTGACATTTCCATATAAATGAATGGCTTTATAGAACAACATTCCTTCACTAGCAAACAACAGTTGAACTTGAAATCTGTTTATAATAGCTTTTACCTACCTAATGTTGGCAAAAATTCAGACCCTAAAACCCAGATAACATTTTTGCTTAATGTTGGCTTATTATTATTTATAATGTACTAGAATAGAAGGATAAATGTCTATCATCTGCATTTTATAGATATCGTATTCAAAAACTGTGCCAAAAAGTTGATAAAATACCGTATCCTTTCCAGTTCAGTAGCTTGAAAACATCTTCCAATGCAGCAGTAAAGAGTTTCGGTGATATAATGTTACTCTGTCATGCACCTCTCTGCAGTTGGATAGGTCTCATACTTGGTTCTGTACTTGGATAGCCATCGTAGCTCTACTGTACAAATACTTCAGCACTTCGATATTCCGACAGTCAACTTGGCACCACTGAAAGGACTGTAGCACCGCTCAATTTTTATACATTAGTCGTAATCTAATGGTATGACTTTGGTGCGTGCAGAATACTGGAAATGAGGTATTTCACCTTAATCCTCAATGAAGACGACGCATCTGCATTTTGATTGTTAAATGAGAATAGATGCAGATGTCTATTGACCACAGGATCGATTTACCATCAAGTGAACTGTGTGCTCATTTGTCATTTTTATTCTATAAAGAAGGTTATAAACGAATATACAGTCTACTCGACTGTTAATACATGTTCCCATATGTGGTCTACAGGCACCCATAAAATTAAAAATTCAGTAGCTCTGTCACCCTTGAGGATTTAGATGTAAATCACCTTGCCAAAAAAATGTATCTGTTTCTTAAAAATGCCCACATTTTAATCTAAATCAAATTTGCCCATTTTACCATGTTGAACGCAAAATTTTTCACACAAATTGAACCACTGTCATCCATCAATGCCGCCTTTTAATTTTAACAAGTCAATGTTCGAGTCACTCATCGTCGCGTCATTCATCATATCAGCAGCAGCGTATTCGGGTCCCATTGTTTCGAATAAATAACTAAAAGATTTACCTTGTAAACCTGCCCGTGATCATCTTTTATACTCGTATGTATATTTATTTGAATAAATGACTTACTTATATAATATAATA